TCGGTGAGCCAAAATCGGTTTTCGACCACTTCTGACCTTGTTTTGGACTGAACCATTAGCTCTAAAGTTCTTAATGATTGTCTGGATGGTTGTCCTTGCTAATTTATACTTGGTCCCTATTTGTCTCTGCGACAGCCCCCCTTTTTGTCCACCCTTCCAGTCCTGAATGACAAGATCTCGAATAGCGATAGGAATTTCCTTGCGTGTCGACGCCATCATATTTTTCTGGAAGAAAATTATTTAAAAATTAATGCGGCATATGTTATTGATAGATTTATTAAGTTACCTGATTTTATAAATTGGAGAGATTTTTGTTGTTGACAATTAAAGTGAAGTGGACGTAGACTTTTGTCCGCTCAAATTTCATCCTCTCTCGCTCTGCACTATGATTCTCAGTTTTCCCAGAATTTTCAGAAATAACTCATATGTTTTATGAAATTACGTTAAATTTGTGAGAATTTGATATATCAATGATGAAAATTGGTTCAGTAGTTCAGTGACAATTTGAAAATGAAATTGACGCGACTATGTGGACGTAGACATCTGTCCGACACTGTACATTGCGAGGAATTCATATTTGTAGAAAATCTTAGGTAGTGGAAAGAAGTTGGATTCCTTCGGCATGCATAAGGATTTCTACTCTTTATTATTTTTGTAATTTTTCAGATAAGTTAAGCTATCAAATGCAGAAAAGCAAATTTGAAAAAATTTACATTTCTCCAAAAAATTGACGAAAAATTAAAATCCATGATTACGTGACACGGAAAGTTGAAAATTATTTACCCTGGAAAGGCCAAACGAATTGTTATTTAGCTAATTTGACATGAGTTACCTAGAAAGCAACCCGTTGGAGAGTTCGGCATTAAAAACAAAACAAAAGTCGTCCCCAGGTAGTCAAAGCTTTGAAAAAGGCAACGTTTTTAATGTTTTGACAAAAAATTTCCTCCACCCAGTAAATTTATTCGCACAGGGTCAATATTTTTCCTGGTTAACACAAACTTATGTGGGGAGGTACTATGTGAAATAAATGAAGCGTAATCCCCGGAGGACGATAGTCGGGAACTATTTAATTTGAGGTATGCGAAAAGTTGTATGGTGCAGAATTCACCATGCTGCAAAACCGTATTTAACTACTGTCAAATCAAACTAAATAGACCACTGTGTGCTATCACAAGACTAACTAGGTGGTTGTTAATAAGTGTGGAAAATTTCATTCAAATTCGTCAAGCCCTTTTGATTTTATGACATTCTAAACCCAACAATTTGCGACTAGGCGCTGTACCACTTTTAAGTTGCCCACCCTTTAAGTACTTCTGTAAGTATGTAATATCTCATTAGACATCATCCAATTATACTTGCTCATTCAAATGTAGGATATTGCAACCACATTCCAACATATATACGTCATTACATACCGTTGCTGCTACTTTCTACAATTTTTCTGACAGGAAACAAAGCAAGAAAATTCCAAAATGCGAAACATATTAATCTTTTTTTTCCTCCTCTTCGTAAAATATAGTGACGCTTTCTTGTCAAAATTTGCTGCCGAGTTGGCACAAATTCCGGCCCCGTTACTTCCACCATTTGAATGCACCCTGCACTACCATCAAATCGGGAATTTTGAGGGTTGTCTGTCCCACCTTGGTGGGATACATGGTCACCTTGAATCTGCCCGGATTTCCTGGCTTGTCTATACTAAATGGCCAATAAGGTTTGGTGACACACATTCTCATAGAATGTGGGGAGCTGCGACAAATACGAAACGACATCAATCCTGGTGCAGTATCATTTTCCATTTCGATTTCGCCAGAGCACCCTTGAAAGAAGTGTTTTATCGGAGTTTTTTCTATCACATGTATCGCACCGAGACAATTTTTATCTTAATTCGGGACAAGATTCGTGAAGATTTACTACACGAAAGGCTATATTCTACACCATGCCTTGTGTTTATCGAATCTTACATGATTAAGTCATCGGAACGTTACTCGTACTTCCAGAGGAAAAAGGATGGCGTAATTTTGCAATCAATGCCACCGACTTTTTCTATCGTGTCAATTCTTCAGAAATTTCCAAGTCTTGATGATCACTTGGTACCAGAAATCATTGAGACTACATTTACCGATGCGGAATTAGGTAAGTTTAACAGCCATTCGTCTACATCGTATTGGTGACATCATAGCGATTTACATATTATAAATCATTCCAGATTCTGAAAGAAATAACAAGCATTGTTTTGACGCCACGATTTCCATTGATATCTGGACAGCCTGGGTAGCCTTATGTCCCGTAAACACCGCCAGAATCGTATTTCTTCAAAATGAACTCAATTCCACCGTATCAATTAATCGTGGCTATTCATTTGCCAGGATTAGGTTCGAACATCGCACAGAACCGTATGCCCCTTTCTTAATAAGATCTTCGGATTGGAAACCTTCCAAAATTTATTGCAAAACAGCTCCCTACCTCCCGCAAGGTTGGACCGTATGGCTGAGTCCCTTCAATTTCAGAGTTTGGGCAATGATTGGTCTAGCCGGCGCTACAATCATAGCCTTCCAGCTTGTTCAAAAAGACCGCCACATACGGCGGGAAATCTCATATTTTATAGCAGCCTTGTTTCGCCAAAGTTTTCAAACTAGACGACCCCGACATGTTCCGCTGGTCTTGATGTGCATAATTTTGTACACCTCGTACGAAACGTTGTTCACTAGTAAGCTCATAGTTCCCATCAGTCTGCCTGGATTTGAGAACGTGGGGCAATTTGTGAATAGCTCTTACAACAACAAAATAGTCTGCATTGAACCAGTCAGATGCAATTATTTGTTCAACATTAGTCATGATATTACGTCGAATCTTGAAAAGTATGGAGTACTCGGGAACTTGGAAACATTTTTGATTGTTCTACCCTATAAAGACTTGTGGCTCGTACATACCCAAAGATTGATTAGTTTGGTGGCAAGCAAAAGCCTGAACAATACACTTTACGGAATTTTACTGGATTCAAATCACGCAAAACAAAGTGCAGAATTATTAATTTATAATTTTTTACTTTCAGCAGTTATAAGATTTGACTTCACTTCGGCGTTTGTGTCTAACTGTCATTTATTAAATGTTGGGACAACCTCGTATTACTATAATTTATTTGAAGTTCCGTATTTTAAGGAATTAGCGAAATTTGATAGTGCCACGAATGAGTTTGGTTTTCTGCGTTTATGGGAAGCCAATTGGATGGCGCGATTTCATCAACGGGTAGAAAAAATGCCCGGTCAGATTGAGAAAGGGGTCAATGGGACAACCTCCAGTGAGGCCGTGTTAAAGTCAAAATTTGTAACTTTTTCACATCTGGTGCGGTTTCTTATTCTTTGCACAATTCTTGGGGGGATTTGTGGCTGTGTATTTATATTTGAATTAACGAGGCAAAGAAAGGGGAATAGAATGTCGTATGAATTGTTTAGCCTACTATTAAGCTTTCTGTATTTAGTGTATTTCAAAGTGCTACAGATAATAAATCGGGTGCGCTATGCAAAATAAAATTAAGTTTGTAATGGTCGATAGTAAAGTGTCATGTGATATGATATGAGTATTTTAGATTTTAATATTACCATCTGTATTTAAGCGAGTAATTATAAACATTTGCATATGTATGTATACTATTAAACCGATATATGTATACGATATTGTCACGTTTTTTACATACATATGTATATTTACAGCTATGAAACCATTGCTTAGTAAAACCTGCCTGGTCCCCATTTGGCTCGGTTATACTAAATGATTTAGGAATAATTTACAAAAGCCGAAAAATTAGATAAATGTAAAACTATAAATACTTTTGTCAACACGTATGTAGAATCTGAGTAAAACCCACATCACGTAGTAAAACTCGTTCGGTTTTATGTAGTAATTTGCGACTCACAATTAAGATCTCCCAACATATGCTCACAGATTAGGACCAAACTAGCGTCACTCGATGACAAATATAATTAGTATGAAATTTGAAAATGAAACTATCTGCCAATGTTTAAGTTTAGCGGAGATGTTTACATTCAAAGTGGGAAAATTTCGCAGCAAATTTGGAAAATGAAAAATTTGACAGCCTTGTGGGTGCGTTTTCTCCTCTTGTTATGTAAATATCTCGGCTAAACTTGGGCATAGCCAGAGAGTGTTATTTACAAATTTCATACTAATTATATTTGTGATAAATTGACGCAAGTTTGATCCAACTCTGTGAGCATACGCAGGGAGACCTCCATTGTCAGTCAAACCCGGGATTGGGATACTCTGCCCGCTCTGGTTGAGCGTGGAATGATAGCCACCAACAGGTAAGCTGAGTTATATATAAACCATTGAGCTGAACATTCACATATCTACATTGATGAAAATATTTACAATTCGTCCGAGATTATTTGATATCTGGTTAATCTACTCAATAAATTTACCAACATTCAGCAAACATATTCGCGGATTATTTTCATTAGCAAACTCATACATATTTATCGCTTGCATTGTAGAGTATTTCCTTATTGGGCAGCCCTGAGGTAAATGCATGCATATCTGGTAATCATTTATAATAAATAAACTCCAACCAGCCACAGATTACGCAACTCTAAATACTTAAATCAAAGGTGCAATCTGAACAATTACATTATTGTTTTTTCTTTTTCCTTTTATTTATATGTTAATCATTCTCCCATTTCATAGTAGCCTTGAGGAGAAATGTTGGTCAAATAATTTAAACTTGCTTTACTAAACAAATCCACCGCCGTAATTATATTAATCCGGTCATATCAAAAGTTGGATTACATAGATACTTACTCCAAAACACCGGCTCTTTAAAGTTGTTGCAAAACGCTACAAACATATGCATATTTATTTATTTATAGGTTTATTAGAGTCTATGTAGTGTCATACATACATTATGCCTAGAGGGTTTAATCTGCGGTAACTTGATTATGCTAATTTCTGTCATAAAACTGGACAAGTATAAAATGAAACTCAATTTGGCATGAGCATAATTGTACGATTCTGTACTCTGGTCGAGGAAGATGTCAGTCCGAACTATTATTTGGTTGGTCATCTGCATTTCTTTGATAACACGTGGTTCAGCAATTCCAGCAAAAGTTGAACTCAGGAGTAATCACGATGCCGGGTATAAGGCAGCCATTCACGTAGAAGGAGAAGAGAGTATTCATCTAAATCTTATCAAATCAGGTGGGTGTATATTTAGCTTATAAATTTTATTTGCAAGATGTCCTGAAACTCTTAATTGTTTCATTCCTGTGCATTTACATATGTACTTAAGATTCTCCCGCGTTCCACCCAAATATGAGAGTATTTACCACTGGAGACAATGGTCATGAGGATGTCACTCCACCGAAGGAACGGTTCGATGAGATAATGAATTCTATTTATCAAGATGCCGAAAAAAATGCCATCGTCCGAGTGGTAAATGGAAGTCAGGGATTAATAATACAGGTAAGTAAATACATATATTTAGCAATATAATATGCCATTTTCAAATTTGTGGAAATCTATTCAAACATTCCGAATGTACTTATAAAAAATGCCCGTCTCAAATTTGTGAAATTTTACAACCTTGTAAAATACTGTTTACAAATTACATAAATTAATATTGTTCTTCAGCATGGAATTATTGACGAGAAGAAGATAAATCATGTCGAGCACGAGGATCATGACATATCTAATATTTACGACGGGCTTAGAACCGGTGGTGTAACCGATTACGGTAATTGAACGAAAAATAATATGATACGATAAAAATTAAAACTTTTTAAAAATTATTTCAATACATTTTAGAACCTGCTATCTACGATCCGTTAGACTACCTCCCACGGAACGAGACGATTGGTCCCAGAAGCTCAATAATGGCCGTGGGAACGGTAGAGGTTTTGCTCATAATTGATTACGCAATTCAAAACTGGTTTGGTGGAAATGTCGACAGGATAGTGGAATATTACGCACTTTTCATTAAAAGTGTGAACAGTATCTACGCACTCAGTGAAGATCCCAGTATTAATTTCCAAGTGATCGGGATTCATGTTATCACGGTAATAAACAATTATACGTGGATCATAAATGTAAAATTGATTCTAATCATCAACAATAAGGAGACTGCGAATTAACATTTATGCAACCAAAATTTACTCGAACGCTAAATGCATCAGTAAGTAATCACTGTGTCACTATTCTGGCATCTAAGGAATAATTGAAAAACCAGTTTTCGATTATTCCGTTTAGTCTAGTATAGAGCCGGTTTTCTGCAAAACTAATTTTTTTGAATTATACACCGATTTTGTATTTGATCCAAAATCGGTTTTAACCAGGTTTAAATAATCACCACAATCCAGTTTGAATCCCCTACGTAGTCACTCCGGATAAGAATTTAATTGTTTAAGTAAAAATATAGTGAATACACCCTAAATGTGCAATCTCCTCAATTATCACATGTACGTATAGACACGAGCACAGCAGCCGTACATCGAAAATAATCAATCCCCTGTACCTGGAATATTTCTTAGTGACCCTGCTAAGAAAGATTTTGGTACGTGCCATATAAAATTTGTTAATAAATTTGCTATATTTTATTTCGAACAAGAACATAATATTTAATAATAATACGTATGCGAATATTTAGCAAGATTCATGTCAACTAATGCCGCTCAGTATCCGATAAACGATGTCGTCGTATTGCTGAGTGGAGAGATATTTGATTTAAGGGCGGATGGAGAAATACTTGGAACGACGTTTATTCGCGGGGCGTGCAAACCTGAGGAAAAAGTGGCAATTTCAACTGATCCTACCGCCAGATTTACTGGAGTTCGAACATTTGCGCATGAAATGGGCCACATGTAAGTAGGGGTGGATTTTCGGGGGGAAATGTCTGCACATTTAAAATAATGTCACCCTTTTGAAAAGTAAATGCGTATATGCAGACTAAATTAAATGTTAAGCCTTAAATCGAGAGTAGTGTTGACTTCATGTATGAAGGGATAAGTTCAGTCTGAATTTAGTGTAAAGTCTGTTGATTTAATTCGCCCCGATTTTTTAGAGATATTTGGATATATGTAAGTCAAAATCTGTGTAAACTTGGGTTCTTCTGGTGAATATTATGATTAGGATTTATCTTCCTCTGCCCCTGGTAAAATTTCAAGGAAAAATATCAATTTTTTGAAAGTTATAGTTAAATATGGTTTGAAGTCAAAATGCGGTCATCGGGATAAATTAAATTAATACCCTTTACTTTACATAATACAGAAGACAGTGCAGTTGCTTTTCGAAAGACTGGAATTAGTTTGAAGAGTGCATAGACGTAATTTTCTATCTAACTTTATCTAAACGTTGATAGTCTTGGGGCTGAACACGATGGTTACGGGACGTCTGCTGGTTGTCCGCGTGGTGGCGATTTTCTCATGGCGGCGAGTGGAGGGAGTGGTGATAATCGGTACAGATTTAGTACATGCAGCAAAGCAGCCATAAATACTTATATTAGGTTTGTCTTTTTTATATTCCGTTATTATGGAGATTGCGATTTTACAGAATTGTGCTAAAATTTATATCTTTACACTAAAGCTTGACGCTTGGCTAGTCTAAATACGCGACGGGAGACTTACTGGTTAACCTTATGGTGCAAACATTAAAAGAAAAGTAAAATTTTTGAAAACTTGTGAGCCTTGATCCCTCCTCAGTGAACTCGCTCGTGCTCAGGTAATCGTAAAATTGAGATCTTTTTCTCACCTTACAGGTGAGGCTCAATTATTCTTGAATTTTACTTCACTCCATCGCCCTCCGAGGTCACTGAGGAGGGATCATGGCTCACAAGTTTTTAAAAATCTTTTAATGTTCATACCATAGTTCTTTATTTTTTGTTTTAAGCTTACTTTCGTGGAACATACAATATTAGTAATACAAGTAATACAAGTAATGTTCAAATTTTGAAGGGATTGTTTCCTAACGCTAATTCGCGCTTACATACGTTTTCCAAACGTCACGTTCACGATAAACTAAGCTTAAGCGAAAATTTAGCGTGCGTACCTTAATTTGCAATCTCCGTATCGACTACATTGATTTATATGTTGGTATTTTACATTCCTGAAATTATATTTGGTTTTAGGTCCGTTAGTGCGACATGTTTGTCCATCAAAAATAATCCTCGGGCTCCATGGGCAATTCCACTCAATCAACCGGGAGATTTGGTCGACTTGAACGCTTTCTGTAGAAATTCCTTAGGCAATCCGAACGCAAGAGCGGATCCGGATCCTAATATTGCACCTGATGACATGTGCTACTCTGTAAGATGTGAATATCCCCCGCCTTGTCAACCACCCAGTCAAGCAGCAGTTTGTAAGGCTAGGTCAAATTTCCCAGCACCAGATGGAGCTGTGTGTAGTGCAAATGGGGTGAGTGATTTCGGGCTAAATTTCTAATAAGGAAAGCAAATACTTTTATACAAAACTGCCAAGTTTGCGTATACTCTTAAAAATAATGTTCTTTAATTCTAAATTAAGAAAACTATAACCAAATACAGAGCGAACTTTACTTATCTTACTTATCAAGTTAACATTACTAACTGGCAGAGCACTAACATTTAGTATTCTGGAGTTAAACTTCGTAACACGCTGAGTGAGTTCAGCGCCACATGGAACATGAGAGTCCCATGTTATTTCCGTATGGCGGTAACACCACCCAGCGTGAAACGGAGTTTAGTACAGCTTGCTTGACTTAGAATCTAGCCTGCATTTACTTATCAAAAGAGCAACGTTGCCTAAGAGTGTATGTATGATTAATTTTTATCTTTCAGAAATGTCAATTTGGGAGATGTGTACGGGTTAGTATTCAAACACGAGTAAAATAAAAAAAAATAACAATTTCAGTTTTATTAATTTTTTATTTATGCAGGCTGCACCACCACCCCCACCACCTCCTCCTCCACCACCACCACCCGCACCATTCCGTTGTACGGTTGAAGGAACTTTTGTGAATAACTCTGATTGCCGGAAGTACTTCAGATGTGTAAGAATTTCCGGAAACCTGTACACGTACGACATGACTTGTCCGAGTGGGTCATATTTTGATGCTGCACGAAAACTGTGTATTACTGGGGCATGTTAAATATAAAATTATAAAATTATTTTATTGAAATTATTATCCAATAAAAGCCTGGTTATTTTCTAGTTAATTTAAATTCTGTGACAACATTTGCTTTCACTTATAAACATTTACGCTGTAAATAGTTTAGGTAGAATCCACAAATCAATCTTATTTAACACTAACGTTTGTCAGTCCGAGTTGCCCGAATATTTATTTTTTGTCGACAAATACAATAAATATTGAAATATTATTAAACAAATGAGATATGAAATGCTGCTAATATGTAAAACAAGCTACAATTTCTGATTTGATCAATATCACGTTTACAGCCAATAATTATTCATTTAGTATTTGTTTGTTATACGGTTCCAGGATTAAACTGATGCAATTCATCAAAGCTTTTGTAAAGAATAAATAGTTTTGTTTTGTCGTATGGATGAATATTTTTGGGAAATCGTTTACAATTGCATGATGCCAAATTATGACAAATGATTTTTTTCATGATGGCGTGACCAATGTTTACAAATGTATCTATATACGCGTCAAGGGAACAATTTAATATGAATTAACTTTTACTGTTAATTAAAAAGCACCTGGTTCTACACTCTAAGTTCATTCTTGATTTACACGTCGGACCCGATTTATCCTTAGTAGCTCACCCTGCGTAGCACGAGAGCTATTGAATTCCTCACAGCCGTCCGTCGGTCCGTCTGTTAACGAATTTTTGTATCAATTTATGCTAATTAAAATGTACCAGCGCATTTTTTTAATAAGTTAAGAGCACCGGTGGTATCTAACAATCAGTAACACCAATTGATGCGAAATAATTTACAAACGGATGAAAAACGAACCAATAGTGCACAATCTCCAGGAGAAATAATCATACAATTTTGACGTAAAGCCACCAAAGTTATATATGCCTTTTGCTCGCTAATGCACCACACGTGGTGCAACTCCGGGTTTCTACATGTTTTTTTTTCGTTTATATTGCACCATTGGTGCAAGAATACATAAACATTATCTCTATTGTCGGCTCATACAGCACTTTCGGTGCAAAGTTATATCTAAATTATTATGACAGGGTGAGCTACTTCTAACGTTACTACCCAAACTTGAAGGTCAAATGAACCCAGCCAAACGGGCCAACCTTGTGGCAGACGGGGCCCACTTTTACAATAAATCACTGACGGTGTCCAATCCGAGGAGGTAGGGATGATACCATTCTGTGCGGTGTTCAAACTCTATGTGGGCAAAGGCATGGTCGTACACACTTAGTACGGTGAAATTGAGTGAATTTTGAATAAATAAGATTCTTGCTGCGTTCACAGGGCATAATAATATTAACCAGGATGTCCAGCTCCAGATATCTTTGGATATCGTGACGTCAAAGCAAATTTGGTGTTTTCCAGTATCTGCAATGTTTATAGTCAATCATTAAATACAAGTTACTAAATACATTATGACTAATTATGATTATAATTATGATTATAATTATGATTAATATCATGATTAATTTACCTAAATTGAAACCGCTAAATTTGGTGGGAACAATTCCTGCAAGGAATTGAACGTTAAGGTAGGGAATTTTTTGAAAAATTGAAACAATAGAAAAAGCTCGTGGCATTGAACGAAAAATTACGCCATCATTGTTCCTTTGCATGGAAGTGTAACGATCCGATGATTTACTAGTGAATTCAATAAAAACAAGGCACGGTGCAGAATATAGCTGGTATTGTAATAGATTATCATCTAACGTGTCCCGAATTAATATGAAGATTGTCTCGATGCGATAAATGTGGTAGTAAAAACTCAGATAAAATACGTCTTTTAATGTTACTCTGGCGAAATCGAAATGGAAAATGATACTGCACCAGGACTGATGCCGTTTCAGCATTGTTGCAGCGCTCCACATTCCATGGGAATGGTTATCACTAAACGTTCGTGGCCATTTAGTGTATACAAGCCAGGAAACCAGGGAAGATTCAAGGCGACTATGTATATCACCAACGAGGGGCAAACCACCCTCAAAATTCCCGACTTGATGGTAGTGCAGGGTGCATTCAAGTGTCGGTAGTAACGGGGCCTGACTTAAGGCTAACTCTTTTGCCAACTTCGACAACAAACTGTCGCTTAGTTTGAGCAAGAAGATGACCAGAAAGGTCAGCGCGGATTGCATTTCGGAATTTTTTGTTGGTTGATTTCCTATCATACAAATTGGGAGCACGAAGTAACGCTAAATATCCACGTATGGACACTGGAATAACCTTTGTATTACCCTTCATTTCATTGATCGAATATTTCGTCGTAGCACATAACTTAATAACGAGAACATAACGTAACCACTTATTGATTAACCAACATTAAACAACGGGTAGTAGCAGAATTATACATGTATTTATTTATTCATATCGTCGTACTAATTCATAAAAGACCTAAGTGCAGTCGATACTAAATTCAGAAAAAACCTAAGTTCAGTCGTTGTTTAATTCAGAAACGACCGAAGTGCAGTCGATGCTCAATTCAGAAAAGACCTAAGTGTACAGAAAAAAAGACCCATGTGAAAGTATGTATTTATTTATGGCTAAATCGCGCGATTTCTGAAGTATCGCTTTGGCAAGATATAGCCATAAGTAAATACATACTTGCGCATAGGTCTTTTCTTCCTTTTTTTCTGTACACTTAGGTCTTTCCTGAATAAAGCATCGACTGCACTTAGGTCTTTTATGAATTAGTACGACGATATGTAATTAAGTAGATATGTTGGCCAGGATATTACTTTTTGGATTATTATGCTCTTCCTTTATTCATTGGAGTATTAATTGTATTTGCACATTTTCCATTTTCATCATTTTTTATATACATATATCATCATCTCGATAACTAAACGACAAATTTTAGCTAGTTACATACTTATGTATAACTACGAAAGGCGACATTTATCTATGTATATGTGTATATACTTACAATGAGGTGTGAGGTGGTTATCACCGATCGAGAGCGGACTAATTTGAAATTGTTCAGGCCCAGAAATAAGCCGACCCGTATTTTTTCGTTCTCCTGAATGGGCATGTTTACGCTCTTGGCGGAATTTTCAAAAAAAAATTAGCCAAAATTAGGATTTTAAAAAATGCTGTAACTTTTCGAATTTTCACCCGATTTCAAACCACCTGGCCCCTCTCCATTGTTAGTTTCATACTTTCAACTTGTACCTAACCACGAAACAAGCATAGTATAACATTCGGTGGAAGGACTATACTCTGCGATAAAAATTTATACTTCATCCTCAGTTTTATGTATGACTTGTCCGAATAGGTCATATTTTGATGCTGCGCGAAAATTGGGTGTTCCGAAGGCGTGTTAAACACAAAATGATTAATTTTCCAATGAAATTCTGCTTAATTCAAATTCTGTTACAATATTTGCTTTCACTTCTAAACATTTACCCTATAAGTATTTTAGTATGGAATATAGAAATACTTTAACCTTACCTATCGCTAACATTTGTCAGTCCGAGTATTTCTTATTTGTCAAATACAATATATAAATATTATTAAACAAACGAGTTATCAAATATGCTAATAAAATAAGCTTCAACTTCTATTTTAACAAATATCATTTCGGCCCCTAATAATATATTCCTTTAATATTTGTTTGCTCCTTGGTTAAACAATTATATAAATCGGTAAAATTTATCAAAAAGCTTGATAAAGATTGAGTAGTTTTGTTTTGTCGTATGTGTGAAAATTCTTAGGAAATTGTTTGCAATTGGATGATACCAAATTGTCAAAAAATATATTTTTGATGGCATGACCAATGCTAACAAATGCATTTACATACGCGTCAAAAGAACAGTATCATATTAATTTAATGACATAAATGTGTATTGACAATTATTTAGGTAATTACAGACAATATGTATTTTTAATTGAAAATACCTGATTCATAATCATACATACATACATAAGTTTATTTTTTATTTACATATCGGACCCGATTTATCCTTATTAACATTTTAAAATACTGTAAGCACGCAAACTTTGAAAATCCTTTGGACCAATACGACTTTTTACTTTGTATTTTCTCAATCAAAAATACGCCAACACAATACAATTCTCTCCTCCTGCTTGGACGGCTGATATTTTCAAGTAGAAATACCCCTGCACACATGCCCCCAAGAAATGTGCATAGGTCAAAAAATCGGCCCAGATGTGACGAAGTTACAAATTTAGATTTTAACACGTATTCGCTTGAGGTCGTCCAATTTCCCTGCTTGTCCATCAGATCGGGCATTCGGTGAACCCGTTGCTGAAATCTTGCCGTCCAAATCGTTTCCCACAAACGCAGAAAACCAAACTCATTCGTTGCAGTGTCAAATTTAGCTAATTCCTTAAAATACGGGACTTTAAAAAAATTGTAGTAATACGAGGTTGTTCCTGCATTCAATAAGTGACAATTAGGCACATATTCCGATTTAACGTAGGGTTTTAGGGTGGCTGGAATTATTAAATTGTAAATCAATAATTCCGCATTTTGTTTAGCATTACTTGAATCTAGCAAAATTCCGATAAGTGTTCTATTCAAGTTTGCGATTGCCATAAAGATACTTAATTCTCCAATATGTTCGAGCCAAAAATTTCTTCTTGATCGGACAACCAGAAATTTCTCTAGTTTCTCAATAACCCCAAACTTTTCAAGGTTTGACGTAATATCGTGGCTAATATTGAACAAATAATTGCATCTGAACGTATTAATGCAGATTATTTTGTTATTATCAGAATCATTCACGAATTGCCCCACGTTCTCAAATCCAGGCAGACTCGCGGGAACGATGAGGTTACTAGTAAACAACGTTTCGTACGACGTGGACAAAATTATGCACATTAAGACCAAAACTATGTGTTGGGTCTGGCAGATTTCATAGCCTTGTCGAAACAAGGCTGCAGTGAAATATGAGATTTCCCTGCCTATCTGGCGGTCTTTTTGAAAAAGTTGGAAAACTAGGATTGTCAAACCTGTTAGACCAATAACTACCCAAACTTCAGGGTTAAACGGACCTAGCCAAACGGGCCAACCTTGTGGCAGACGGGGTCCACT